GATTATATTAAGAATAGTGCTATTGAGGAATGCATTTATTTTCATTATGATATTTCAAAATTAAAAGCCCTTTGATTTTTTTTCTCGGAAACTGGAAGGAATTAAAAATTTAAAATATATGCATATTCTAGATATTATTGCCTAATATATTTTTCCAAAATTTTAATTTTTTAAAAAAATCTGTTTTTTGAGATATCCTTGTCCGAAAATTATAAGGGGTGCTGTAATCAATCACCTTAAATAGAATAGAAAATACATCATTTTTCTTTATATCGAATGTACAGAATTTATATTTGTCTCAATATTTCTTCTAACTTTCTACTGACTCAGATTCAAAAATAGATACCCTGTGGCGCGTTCAGATGCGTTTACGTGGGATTAGATGTTTACAAGTAAGTGTAGTTATTTTTATTCCTTTAAAAATTTAGGATACTTTGGTTCAGCATTCTACTTTTCCATTTACGCATATTAAAACTTACAAAAAGTGGTCTGTGCAGATCTATTCCAGATAACTGAAAAAATTACCGTTATGAAACATTTTTGTATACATTGCTGTTTACGAAGATGGAGAAGGGGTTATCTACTAAAAGAAATAATTCTAATTTGCTCAATCAGTTAATTTTAAATACTTGTTGCGTTAACATGTATTTTCTTGTGGAGTTTAAAGACAGCGTGTTATACATTTGTCCAAGAAGTCGTGTTTCTTTAATTAAAGAAGCCACTGGGGTCTATTCTGTAACAATTCCTTTATATTTAAGGAGGTCCTTTCGCCACCAATGTTAAATAAAAAATATTAGATTATGACTAAAATGAATTTTTTTCTAATAGTAGATGTCCTTATTTATCTAATAGTGAACTTTTAACTATACCTTACCGTGAAAATTTTTGAGAATTTTTTTTTTAAAAATGTGTGTGTTTGTACAGTGTCTTATGAGAAAGTAAGACTTCAACAACAATTTTCAAATTATTATTAATTTTACTATTATTTATTGATTAGATGGAGTAGAAAAAAACTAAAAATAAGGTTTTTGAAATATTTAGGTTTTGTTTTTTACAATAAAATATATAGGTTACCGTGGAATTTATTGAGAAATTATTATTAAGAAATCACAAAAAATTTTCAATTAGGTTACTTGAAAATTTTTTGTGATTTTTTAATATTAATTTCTCAATAAGTTCCACGGTTTACTATATATATTTTATTGTATAAAACAAAATCTAAATATTTCAAAAACCTTATTTTTAGTTTTTTCTACTCCATCTAATCAATAAATAATAGAAAATTCTCAAAAATTTGCAAGGTAAGGTATAGTTAAAAGTTCAGTATTAGATAAATAAGGACTTCAACTATTAGAAAAAAATTAATTTTAGTCATAATCTAATAACTTTTTTTTAACATTTAAGGCAAGAGGTGTGCCGAAAGGACCTCCTTAACGTCCTTTATTCTTCTTTACTTCTGTCATTATTTAAACGGATCTTTAAAATACATTAGAGGACTATCTTAAACAAATCTGTTTAAATAATGACAGAAGTAAATTAACGAATACAAACATATTTTTAAAGGTCGCCAATATTTTTAAAGGCCGTTAAATATAAAGGAATTGTTACAGAATAGACCCCACTGTCTGTGTACAGATAAGAAAAGTATAGGAATCATAATTTTTTTTCGAGCTCGAGTTTTCGACGGATTTTTACGTTTTGGGGTCCCCTGAATTCGTTGTGACTATTTTCACGATGATGTGTGTGTGTGTGTGTGTGTGTGTGTGTGTGTGTGTGTGTGTGTGTGTGTGTGTGTGTGTGTGTGTGTGTGTGTGTGTGTGTGTGTGTGTGTGTGTGTGTGTGTGTGTGTGTGTGTGTGTGTGTGTGTGTGTGTGTGTGTGTGTGTGTGTGTGTGTGTGTGTGTGTGTGTGTGTGTGTGTGTGTGTGTGTGTGTGTGTGTGTGTGTGTGTGTGTGTGTGTGTGTGTGTGTGTGTGTGTGTGTGTGTGTGTGTGTGTGTGTGTGTGTGTGTGTGTGTGTGTGTGTGTGTGTGTGTGTGTGTGTGTGTGTGTGTGTGTGTGTGTGTGTGTGTGTGTGTGTGTGTGTGTGTGTGTGTGTGTGTGTGTGTGTGTGTGTGTGTGTGTGTGTGTGTGTGTGTGTGTGTGTGTGTGTGTGTGTGTGTGTGTGTGTGTGTGTGTGTGTGTGTGTGTGTGTGTGTGTGTGTGTGTGTGTGTGTGTGTGTGTGTGTGTGTGTGTGTGTGTGTGTGTGTGTGTGTGTGTGTGTGTGTGTGTGTGTGTGTGTGTGTGTGTGTGTGTGTGTGTGTGTGTGTGTGTGGTGTGTGTGTGGGTGCGCGCGCGCCTGCGCCTGCCCAAAAACACTACATTTTTAAGGCTTTATTTTGGCCTGCGATAAAATTATCAAATTGTTGGGCATAGTCGGATAATTTGAAAGGTACTTTAGGAGGTTGTTTTTCTACTTTATATGTTGTTTTTCTACTTTATGAAATATATCTGTTAAATACGCCCGGAGAACAAAATTCTTCATATAAAAGTTGCTTGTAATGTTATTCTCTGTAATTTTTGTCTTTTACATAATTTGCCTAAAATGGTATTCGAGAAATTTGACAAAAAGTGCAAAATTCTAATTTTTATGAAAATTGGTAAACTTAAAGTTGTTTGCGATATGGATCTCTATTTTCTCTAAAATGAACAGTAAAAAAAATTAAATCCGAATTTGTTAAGGCAAGATAATCTGTGTCAGCTGAGCAGTAGTCTTGTTTTTGTATATATTTTTTTCGACAATTTTTTACTAGTTTCAAAAATATATAAGTAGGTTTTTAGGTTATTTAGGTTTTTAAGATTTTATAGGGTCCTATAGGTTTTTTTATAGGTTTTATAGGTTTTATAGGTTTTATAGGTTTTATAGGTTTTATAGGTTTTATAGGTTTTATAGGTTTTATAGGTTCTATAGGTTTATAGGTTTTATAGGTTTTATAGGTTTTATAGGTTTTATAGGTTTTATAGGTTTTATAGGTTTTATAGGTTTTATAGGTTTTATAGGTTTTATAGGTTTTTATAGGTTTTATAGGTTTTATAGGTTTTATAGGTTTTATAGGTTTTATAGGTTTTATAGGTTTATAGGTTTTATAGGTTTTATAGGTTTTATAGGTTTTATAGGTTTTATAGGTTTTATAGGTTTTATAGGTTTATAGGTTTTATAGGTTTTATAGGTTTTATAGGTTTTATAGGTTTTATAGGTTTTATAGGTTTTATAGGTTTTATAGGTTTTATAGGTTTTATAGGTTTTATAGGTTTTGTAGGTTTTATAGGTTTTATAGGTTTTATAGGTTTTATAGGTTTTATAGGTTTTATAGGTTTTATAGGTTTTATAGGTTTTATAGGTTTTATAGGTTTTATAGGTTTTATAGGTTTTATAGGTTTTATAGGTTTTATAGGTTTTATAGGTTTTATAGGTTTTATAGGTTTTATAGGTTTTATAGGTTTTATAGGTTTTATAGGTTTTATAGGTTTTATAGGTTTTATAGGTTTTATAGGTTTTATAGGTTTTATAGGTTTTATAGGTTTTATAGGTTTTATAGGTTTTATAGGTTTTATAGGTTTTATAGGTTTTATAGGTTTTATAGGTTTTATAGGTTTTATAGGTTTTATAGGTTTTATAGGTTTTATAGGTTTTATAGGTTTTATAGGTTTTATAGGTTTTATAGGTTTTATAGGTTTTATAGGTTTTATAGGTTTTATAGGTTTTATAGGTTTTATAGGTTTTATAGGTTTTATAGGTTTTTATAGGTTTTATAGGTTTTATAGGTTTTATAGGTTTTATAGGTTTTAATAGGTTTTATAGGTTTTATAGGTTTTATAGGTTTTATAGGTTTTATAGGTTTTTATAGGTTTTATAGGTTTTATAGGTTTTATAGGTTTTATAGGTTTTATAGGTTTTATAGGTTTTATAGGTTTTATAGGTTTTATAGGTTTTATAGGTTTTATAGGTTTTATAGGTTTTATAGGTTTTATAGGTTTTATAGGTTTTATAGGTTTTATAGGTTTTATAGGTTTTATAGGTTTTATAGGTTTTATAGGTTTTATAGGTTTTATAGGTTTTATAGGTTTTATAGGTTTTATAGGTTTTTAAGTTTTTTCAAAAATTATTGTCACTATCGATATAAAGAAGAAGGAATTATGAGCTTTGATGAAATGTTGTTTTTATATACACTCATTTTTGCACCCTTTCTCCCGAGAGTTGATTAGTAAAATTGTGCTCTTAATATTTTACTTAAATAAACTAAAAATACCTAAAATTGTATATTTGTCAGTCTTAGGTTTTAAAAAACTTTAAAAACCTAGGTGCAAAAAACCTGTACCTGCCAACCCTGGTTCTACTATACCTATTCTAGAAAAAGTAGCTCATTGAATCAATCACCTCTTTTAGCAAGATTAAGTAAATATATATTAAACTTTACTATTTGAATAATTTGAAACTCTTGTTTTTGCAGATTCAAACCTCTTAAGAAACCCCATAAAAAACATATTAATTGAAAAAATGGAAAGATAATCAATTATTCAATAAATGAGAATTAAACAAAATAGAGTGAAATTTACTCGTATTAATGATTATGTAGGTACGTTTCAATTCAACTATACAGTTGGGACTGTCAATCTTTACGCGTCCGTCATAAACTCGAGTCAAATTAATTACAGAAAAATTGTTATAGTTAAGAAACTAACGAGAATTGGGGAGGAAATTTAGAAATAAATTGACGAACAACCAAGCGTTAAAACAAAGTATATTCTCGTTTAAATTTTGAAATAATCTGGATCCAAAAACAAAAATTAACTAAACAATCGGTTTTAAAACCTACCTATAATACAATAATACGCAACACAAAAAAAAATGTATAGACTCAAAAACTTGAAACTGAGACGAATGATCAGTTTGAAAGATAACATTGGGTAAATCAAATCAGAAATGTAAAATTTAGAGTACGCGTCGATCAGAATATGCCTGTTGTTGCATAGTTCTCTTTTTAGTGTAGGAAAATAGAAAATTCCCTGAAAAATAATCCTTTGAAAGGATAAGTCAAAAGATCGGGTGTCATTAATGGGAATAAATGATGTAAAAATCTATATAATGTCTGTAACAAAGTTACTTTTAATGCTCTAAAGCAGTGTTACTCAAAGTGTGTTCCTCGCTTCCCGTTGTTACTCGTATCTCGTGTAGTTTTACTTTACTCGTATACTCATTTAGTTTTTTTAGCTGTTTTCTTTTCTTTTTATTTCAATATTTACCTATTCACAGCCCTATTTATATTCGAGATCTATAAAGTCAATAAGACAAGAAATTTTAGATTATTTATTTTAAAACAAACTTAACTTTATAAAATTCCATGTACAAACACCTTTGTGGCACATAAAAATAATATGAAACAACAACTTCTGCAAAAGAACTTTACATTCCGTCAAATTTACTCAAATTAACCCAGTCCGAAAGAGTGCACTCTAGACTAATTTGATTCGACTTTCTGAACGAGAGTAGCTAAATGTCCAAATTGAACGCTTGACTGTTCTTGAACGAACCAAGACCAAATTGATCACACTCTTTTGGTCCGAGCGTGTTTCCTGGGGGTCAATTCTCGACTTTTATTCCCATGGGAAAATAAAATTTTCCCATGGGAATTCAGTTTTCGTATTCTCGGAATAAGCGGTGGAATATTTTCCAATGAGAAGTATGGGAAAATATTCCCCTGCTTACGAGCATTGGAAATTGTGTTTTCCAATGGGAATTGTACTAGAGTTTGCGCATTAAAGTCGAAAATTTGACGAAATACCACGCGAAAGACTAAGACATAACTAAAGATTATTGGATATCTTGGATTTTTGGTGAAATTGTAGTTCAAACATTTTTTTTGTGTATTTATAAATTGATATTATTTTATTTATGTTGGTATATTATTTTTACCTCTCTTTCACTAAGAAACTGATTTTCTTAAATTAGTTAGAAATTGTGGGAGCTGCTAAGGGACTGGCAAATAGGTAACACAAATAGAGAAATTTGTAGTAAATTTAATAAGACCTTTTCGAAAATTTTATTATTTCCGTTAACGAAAGAATTTCTTAGTTTCTCGAAACTTTCGTTGCTCTTTTATACAAAAGCTACTTTTTCTTTTTTCAATATGTGAAAAGAAAAACTAAAAATAACTCGAAAAGTTTTAATTATACATAATCGAATATTTTCACTTGTCCTCGGTCAAGCTAGCGATTGCTCGGCACGGCATCTGCTCCAGCGCAGAGGCTCGGCAGGTAATCGGTTACCCAAAAACCACAACAAATACAAATAATACCAACAGTAAATTTTAAAATATCTTTAATGTTATTGGTTATTTCGAAATATTCGTGAACTTAATATCAGACATACGTGAAACTATTATTTCCATGGGAATGTCTATTATGACAAGTTCGAAAATTGCATAACCTATTACCATGGGAATATAAGTAGTGGAATCTTTTCCCATGGGAAAATTTTCCAATGAACTCGAGAATCGAGCCCCTGAACGGTTTTCCTTATTCCCATAGACGCCAACTTTTGTTTTTCTCTAATGGGTCCGTACCATGATACATAAAGGTCTTCACCTCTTTCCGAAGTCCAAATATGTATTCTATTTTATTTCCGCTTGCTAAAAATAGGATTATTTTTACAAAGTAATACTGTTGCTCTTAAAATTATTTTACATTATTATTAGTATTTATAATTTTACATTTATAATGTATCTACTACGGCAATTAAAACACAAATTATCAGTTTAAAAACCGTTTTGTAGCCGCCTTGATCATTACAAACCAGATAATTTAGCAAATAGAGTCAATTAATTATTTAATTTATTGTTACCTACTTACCTACTTACCATATGGGTAGGTACTTAACTTAGTGTATCCACATACGTTTTACGCGGAAAATCTGTGGTTAGGAAAGTTAACTACAAGACAGTTTTATCTGAATCTAACAATTATTTATTGTTTTTATGAGGACATACTATAAATTTTTATGGAATTGATGTAAAAAAATCAAGAATAAAACTTAGTTGTGTTCCACTTTTTAAAGTATTTTTTAGCACCACTAGTCTAATCTCGTCAACCAATCTACAACCGGGTTACAAAACGCTCTACAATCAAGGTAACTATAATCAATGTGATGGCGTAATTATATTTATTAAATCGGAACTATATAGTTCGCATAAAGTTATAAAATTCGATAATAGTAATCTTATTAAATTAAAAATTTTGTTTGAAAATAAAAAAAATTGAAATCAATGCACTTTACAGATCTCCCTCTGATACCGACATCAATGGTTTCATAAACAATTTGACAAGTAGATTAGATAAAGATCAAGCTAATGTCGATTATTCTATATATGCAGGCGATATAAATATAGATCTTCTAAAAGATGCAGATTACATCAAATTATACTTAGATATGTTTAGAGAATTCGGCTATGTGTCGGCAATAAACACTCCTACAAGAATACATAAAGATAGTATAAGTTGCATTGATCACATATTTATTAAAAATAAATACAATCAGTTTGATACAATTATTCCTATTACTATAGAAACTGACATAACTGACCATTTCACATTATGTTAAATAATATTTTTAGAAAATAAAAAAATATCTGATCAACCAAACAATACATTTTTCCAACAAATTGATCATTCAAAGCTCATTGACACTGTTAAAGCTGTAGATTGGAATCAAGTATACTTCATACATGATCTTGAAGCTGCAACAAATACATTTATAAATATTTTGACAGACAGCATCCAAAAATGTACAAGATACACTAAAATTAAAAATATGTATAAAAAAAGATCAAACTGGTTAACCAAGTCCTTAATAAAAACGATAAACAAAAAAAATGAAATGTACAAAAAACTAAAAAATAACCCTGGAAACGAAAACATCAAAATTGAGTATATCAAAATTAAAAGCAATGTTAAAAAACAAATTAAAAAAACTAAATTAGAATATTACAAAAAAGAAATAGAGAAAGAAAGAAATAATTTCAAATTAATGTGGAAAACAATAAACGAAGTCCTTACAAACCCAGAACCGGCTAAACTGATAAATATTGAAAATGAAAACGGAGAAACTGTTACGTCGTGTCAAGAAATATCGGAAACTTTTAATAAATTCTTTATAAACGTTGGAAAAAAATTAGCACAAAAAATTGAAGTTGACAAAAATTATCAGGAATCTTGAAAGATAAACAATCATTCAATTTTTCTCTTACCTACAAATCCACGCTAAATAAAATTACTTAAAAAATAAAAAATCACCAGGAGATGGCCTAAAATCAGAAACATTAAAATCTATATCAGAATACATAGCAGATCCGTTAGCATTCTTAGCTAATAAAATGCTTCTAACTGGAATATTTCCTTCTGCCTTTAAAGTGTCAGTCGTTACACCAGTTTTTAAAAACGAAAAGAAAAGTGACATGATTAATTATAGACCTATCTCTTTAATTTCCAATCTCGCGAAAATTGTTGAAAAACTAATAAAAACCAGACTAACCAATTTTCTAAATAAACATAAAATATTATCAGATAATCAATTTGGATTTAAAGAAAAAACGAGTACACAAGACGCTATTAAATAACTACCATATATGATGCTCTAGATAAGGGAAGACCATCGCTAGGCGTGTTCGTTGACTTAACCAAGGCATTCGACACGGTTGATCATACACTTCTTCTAACAACGTTGGAAGATATAGGGGTGAGAGGTACTGCACATAATCTATTCAAAAGTTATCTAATCGATAGGAAACAAAAAGTAAAAGTAAATAAACATATTAGTAAAGAGGAAACAGTTATATGTGGTGCCCCTCAAAGCACAGTATTAGGACCAATACTTTTCATAATTTATTTAAACAATCTATTTTTATTGGAAGAGGAAAATAAAATAATAAGCTTCGCCGATGATACGGTAATATTTTATAATGACGATAATTGGTTTAGTCTTAAAAACAATGCTGAAAAGCACTTATTAAAACTTAAAACTTGGTTTGATTACTTTCGATTAATTTTAAAAAAACTTTATGCCTACCGTTTGCTTATCATCAATCATCTCTTCCAACATTTGAACTAACCATCCAGAAAACAATAAAAATACCCCCTTCAAATCAAATAAAATATCTAGGAATTTTTATCGACAGCAACTTGAGGTGGAATATTCATATCAATTTTCTCCTAAAAAAATTACGATCAATACTTTATCGATTCAGACAGATCTCAGAGTTTCTAGATTTTAAGCAAAAGAAAATTATATCGGGTGTTCAAATTAAAGTGTTACAGTTAAATACCGCCGAAAATATGCATTTTAGAAAAAAAAGTTTCAGACAAAAGTTTTATAGTTTTTTGGGGGAAACATTTTGGCTGAATTAATTTTTTTATAGCTGACCATAATATGGCCATATCGAGGTAAACTTTGTTTTTTTAAATGGGAATCCCATTTTTTCTTACATATTCTTAAAGTACATAAAAAAATAAGAAACTTTTGAGGGAAATATTTTTTTTATTGGACTTTTACTTTTTGAGTAACAGCTACTTGAAAATGTTGTTGCGCGAAAAAAAAGTTGGCCATATTATGGTTAGCTAAAAAAACGATTTTAGCCAAAAGTTTTTCCCTACAAAACTATAAAACTTTCGTCTGAAACGTTTTTTTTTTTATAAAAAGCGGTATATAGCTGTAACGCTTTAATTTAGAACACCCGGTATATGAAATTTTAATAGAATCACATATCAGGTATGGAATTATAGGTTGGGGAGGAGTAGCTCGAACTTACCTGAATTCATTAGAAGTTCTTCAAAGAAGATTCTTAAAAAATATGTTAAATAAAAACCGGCTTTATCCAAGTGACCAACTATATAGAGACTCTAAAATATTAGATTGCCGTCAGCTATTCTTTTTCCAGATCTGCAGTACACAATTTCTGACAAAAACACTCTATTGACCGAAGCACATGAATACAATACAAGACAAAGAGGAACATATATACTTCTACCATTGTATAAATATATCTAGTAGGTCAGTCCAATGCATTTATTTGTTTGATACCGAAGGGAGACCACCGCCAGGTGGCGGGGAGACCACCACCAGGTGGACAGTCTATTTGAGTCTTTTTAAGCTAGAGACCATTATTATTTAGAGACGGATAGAGCTTTTGCTAGTTTAAAATAGATGGCAGAATAAACTTAATAAAAGTTATTGCCATTTTTATTCCACTCTGTATTGTTTTCATTGAAGAAAACTGATTTTTGTAATATTGTTAAGAGTTATTGCTCCGCTGATTGCTGACAATAGCAAGAAATTTGTATAAATAGGCATTTTGGTTTAATCCTAGAAAAATAAGACTACAATATCCTTTCTCAAGACGTTCCGTGTTCGTACCGAGGGATAGACGATATTGTCTTCCTCGTCTACTTATGCCGCGTTTGAGAATCTACATCGGATGCATAAACAAACGCTCTAGACTTTATTTGGTCACGTGACAAATGTCAATGACAAGTTAGAAGTTTATACTTATTAAATTTGACTTTTGAGACTACAAATCAACCTAAATTTGAAATATAAACAAAAATTAAGCACACTAATCACTTTTATATTCATGCTAGCATAAACAAAGGAAAAATTGACAAACAAGGCTTCACAGAACACTTACTTTCTAGCATGGAACAAACATCTCATTCACATCTCATTTCAAATCGAGATGTAAAAAATGTAATCTGAACAGGTACATCTGGGATAAAAAAACGCAGATGTAGATGTAGTAGATGTGTCCGATGTGGATAAAAAAACGCTCGAGATGTAAAAAATGCATCCGATGTGGATTCTCAAACGCAGCAATAGTATTGAAAATTGGACAGATACGGAATCAGGGGTACTTACATATAGGATAGATGTGAAAGTATTGCTAGATGCAGTGGGAATATTTATTACATGAGATAATTTTGTTTTTAATATAGAATTTGCAATATTTCACCACATTTAAAAAATCGTTTGATTAGAAAAAGTTAGGTTAAAAAATTATTAGACATAAAAATATTTTAAATTTAATTTAGACCCAATACTACAAATAAATAAGTCACAAAAACACTTGCAAATAATTATAGGTATTAGAGTGTGTTAATAGATCCTAGACTAAAATGAAAAATATTAAAGAAAATACTTTTAGAATAGCGGGTTTTTGTAGATGCATTTTCAAGCATTGGGCATAATAACTACTATAGTGGTAGTTACTATATTAAAGGTAGTTCACTAATAATTAGTGAAGTGTCTTTAATGTTATTTTACTTTTTTGAGGTAATAATTTTTATTTTTTATTTTATTTTTTATTTTTTGAATAGCTTCTAAAATATAATCAGGTTCTCTTAATGACATTCCCCGGTCATACCTTGGATCTACCAATTCAGGCAGCATACAGTATAGATAAAACTTTTTTAACTTCTCCTCCATATTTTCAGAATCTTCTCAGTATTAAACTATTTACTGAACAACCATAGTTTTACCTTTAAATTGGAGTCCAATATATTCTAAAAGGTATTTTTTGAGATTCTTCCTAAAATAGCGTGAAAAATAATTATTGAATATGTGATATTTATAATAAAAAACCGGCCAAGTGCGAGTCGGACTCGCACACGAAGGGTTTCGCACTATCGTACAAGATTTAGTACTATGTAGGTACTTTTTAAATACTTTATTAGGATTTAGTAAAAAAAGTCAAATAACTCGTTTCTAGTAGGGAAGCCCCCTTTAATTTATTTTTATTATTTGTTGGGATAGCGGTAACAGAAACAACATTCTGTGAAAATTTCAACTTTCTAGTTATTAGGGATCATAAGGTAC